CCACTCCTCGGAAGGAAGGTTGGGCAATCCTACTTCCATAGTGATACTGCCTCGGAAACCCAAGGAGGGGTCGCTATGAGTCAGGTTTGACTCGACGGCACATAACAACAACAATATACACTGTGAGGAGCTCTGGTGGCATAGTGCTAAGACATTTATTTCATTGCTAACCAGAAGGCTGGTGGTTCAAACCCACCAGCCACTCCTCAGAAGGAAGGTTGGGTGATCTAATTCTGTAGTGATACTGCCTCAGAAACCCAAGGAAGGGTTGCTGTGAGTCGGATCCAACTCAATGGCAGTGAGCTTATAGAAACTGTGAGCTCCTTAGAGTGGGACTAAATCTTATTCAGCTTTGTCTCCCCAGGGCTTTGAATAGAGGCTGATGCCTAGTAAGTACCCAGTAAAAGTGTGCTAAATATATGAATTAATTAAAATATCCATTGGCAAGAGAGTCTTCTCTATACTGTAGGGGTTATCTGAATGCTTTTTCCAAGTCAGTCCAGTACTCCATCCCAAAGGAGAAAGATCTGTAGCAATAGAGGAGTGGAGGAAGGACCAGGTATCTTATTATTACCATTGTTTTGCAGTTTTAAGACATGGAAGATTGTAGGCTTGGAGGATTTAAGCTGCAAACTCTTCGGTAAAAGGCAAAATTGGTGAAGTGGAGGGAAAGGCCTTGAAGCAAAGTTCATTTCTTCCTCTACTGAAATACAGGAACCTGTGTCTGGCCTGAGTCTTTGGCCAGTTGCATTGGAGATACCTGGAGGCTGGAAAATGTCATGAGTTGAGGAAGCATTGCTATATTGAAAGACAATACAGCAAGTCTTTAACTAGTAACTGTGCGTAAGAATGAAATAAATGTGCTACGAACCCTGTTAGGAATTTATCAGGTAACCTTTGCTTCATTGCAGAATCTGCTACATGTCCAAAGGAGTAATTTTCCTGAAATTATACTTAAAGATCCCCCTCTGTATATCAAGACCCCACATTCCTGACTGCAAGAGACAACACTTACTATTTATATTTGCTAGACCTAATTTTGTTTCCTGGGGCCATTGTGACTTTTTAAAAAGTATCTATTTGGGGACTTTCTGAGTCACTGCACAGAATGCTTAAAAATTATGGGTGATTAACAAATTGGTAGCTGTACCCCAAATTTAGACTATGTTTAAAAACAACAACAAAAAAGAATGATTTTTCTTTTCTAGATTTGTTTTAAATCAATCTCATTTTAAAAGCTAATTCAAAAAGCCCTTTTCCTGTGGTACTATGATCCAATTCAATTCAGTTCAATTCAATTTAATAAATGTTTACTGAACACCCATTATAAACTAGCCACTGAGCTAGGTGTTTGACCTGTTTTGATTCCTGCCTTTAAGGGGTTCTCAGTCACAGACAAATACACAATAATAACTCAATGAGAGATGTGCTGCAAAGAGAGAAAGCGCCAAGAATTAACACAGTGGACGAATGCTACTGCTTTTCTCCATTTGTCCTGCTGTTAAGGGTGCTCCCTGACTCTACGGATAGAAGGAAGGTGGGTAGAAAAAGGCCGAGCCTCAAAACACAATACAGTTTTTAAAATGTCAACCTCAAAAACTTTTCAGTGTCACACACTGAAAAGCAAATTTCTTCACTTTTCTAAGGGTCTAGAGATCAACACTTAGAGGATTTTGGGTTTTAACCACTAAAA